TTTTGTTTTGTTTTTGTATTTTTCATGTGCAACAAAGAACACCTAAACAATGTGATCTTTAAAAAAAAATTGAACCCTTGATAACACTGAAAATAATGAGACTTTTAAATCCCCGAGAATGTGAAAGACTGCCCAGGGATTATAACTAATGCATTTTATTCTTATGACTTGCTGATGGCACTGACAGCTGCCCTAGGGGTGCAGTTCTAATCAATGGCTTTATCCACTTGGCAATCTATACCTCAGAAATACAAATTGGAGAAAACCATCAATGTGTAAAGGAGACCTATAAATCAGAATGTCAGGTGGCACAGTTTCATTTTAATAACTAGTATTTAGAGATTGTTGGATAAAATATTCCATGGATACAAATTTATGTTCTTCACATCCCAGCAGGATGTCACCCTGTCCCTGTTATTTTTATCTAATAACAGGAATGAGAAGGGAGTGACAGGAAAACAAACAGCTGGCCTCACTCTCCTGTCTGGGAGGTTTAGATGACTTAAAGTTGATTTCCTTTCCTAATACTGGTCACGGAGTCTTTTGTTTTTAAGTTTGCTTGTCTGCGTATGTGCAGAGAAGATGTATACCGTCGACTTCAAACCAAGAAGTGTCCAGCAGGCTGGCGGGTTTCTCTGCATTGATATTTACATGCACAACTGGGACTATTAGTTCACAAGAATCAATATAATAGCAAACAAGCTGACGCTCAAGGAAAAAATGCTACTTCTCAAGAGTTCATTCCAGCCCTTTCTCCAGTACACTACAAGCATATCCATCATATATGTTTGAAGTTTACTATTTAATATTCCCTTCCTTTGAAAATCTCCTAAGGGTCCTTGTTAAAGGTCAGAACCAGGAACACCTGCATCAGTGGAGGCTGAAGACCTTTTTGAAAACAAAGGACAAATAACCACCTGAACCTAGGGGTTTCTCCTAGGAAGAGCTGCTCAAGGAAATAATCCATGGGGATTCTCTGTGCCATTTCAGGGAGTCACATATCCCAGGTAGACAAATGAGTAGCTAGCTTCAGTGAGCAGCAGCAGAACTAGGATGTATACTCAAGCCTCACTCTTAAAATAGTTGTCAGTCTAGGAATCTGTAAGAGAAAGCAGGTCACAAACTCTACAACTGAAGGCTGAGCACAGAAGTGCCACCTCGATTGTAGACATGTGATGCTGAGACGCGTAAGAGGACTACATACTAGACCATATGCACTGACGAGAGAGCAGCTACAACAGATTCTGTTTGCCCTGAATCCCCACCGCTATAACAGTTGAACACAGTGCTTTGTAGGATTTGTGCAGTGACTTTGAAGGAAGGGAACTGACATTTTTCTGGTTCTAAACAAACATTTTGGAAAAAGAAAAAGACCCATGTGCTTAGGAATTTATAAATTTCTGTGTAAAAGGAAAAGAGTTGCCTTCAAAGAAGATGCCCAAAGAAGCCACAAAATATATACACTGTCCAGTAGACAGAACATAAAATATTGCCTATTTACTTAAGTGACAGCAGAGACACAGAAGCCAGCCAAGAAGACAGCTCAGTAGTTTCCAGTTGCATAAAGACACATCCAACTCATTCCAGATTATCTCTGCTCCTGCTTAATTAATTCTATCATTGGCATCAAAGAGCTCATGTGTAAATTTTCCTGTAAATTTTCCCATTTCCCAACAGAGTTCAGCTGGGTTTCTACTTTTCCACACCACCTCTCCCCCACACCCACATCAGAGTATCTATCGCAGATGTTACAATTTACTTTCTAACAAGCTTTCCTCAAAGCTGTCCTTGAAAGATTCATGCTAAGAGGGACAAAAGAGCCATAAGACTCAATAGCAACTCTGCTTTGGTAATAAAATTTATATTTAAGGGGAAAAAATCATTTTAATTCTACCTCTTGTTAAAGTTGAAGAACAGAAAGTTATCCTTTTGGTTGCCCTGGGAGATTATGGTATAGACAATGTACCTTAAGGCTTAGTTTTTGCAGTTTTCTGCCTGAATTCCTTCTTTCCTCACTGAGAACTTTTAATAACATTTCACTGAGCTCTTGGTTTTATCCTTCCCTGCAAGCAACAACTTCCAAACCTGCTCAGCCCTCTTAATCAAACCCCGGGAGAAATTTTGCTTTAGGACTAGACATCAGAGCCCTAACTGCTTCTGTAAGTCGATCCCATTCTGTAATATTCATCCAGCCACTGGAGACAAAACCCTTCTCTCTGAGGGAGACGGCAGTTCCCCTCAGGCCTTGCTTTTCTAGTTTCCCCAGTGCCACCAACATTGAGCAAACTTCCTTCTAGATACAGAACGGAGAAGGCCCATTCCCTTACAGCCCTCCAGCCTGTCCCACTTTGAGCAGTCTATACTTCATGCTCTTCTTAGAAAGCCATCTTCCCCAATGTGCTCATCCAATAAGTAGCTGTTAACCTTTACATGTAGAAACCCAGTGGTGAAGAAAAGACAAAAATCCTTCCAGGAATTGTGTGCTCGTGAATCAGAAGCAACTTCAGCTTGAAGCCTGGCAAGCTGTTCTCTTCAAAAGTCCACATCCAAAAGGACTCCTGGGAACTACCCACTGTCAATAGCTCCTCCGTTAAGTGGTGAGGCCTAGGCAATCATCTACACCATCTGTGCTGAAATTTGGGCTAGGCTTGTCTTTTGCGGGTCTTGTGCAGGTAACCCCAACTGCTATGAGTTCTTGAGTGTGACGCTTGTGTCATGTACGGAAGACAGACTTTCACGGCACTTCTCCCTTCCTCCAGTTCTTACATTCTTTCTGCCTCCCTTCCTTGGTGTTCCCTGAGCCTTTGTGAGGGGAGGGGGATTGGTATCAATGCCCATTTAAGGCTAAGCACTCAGTCTCTTACTCTCAGTGTAAGGGGCCGTTTCCTGTATTATAATGGTGCCTAAAGACACCAAGATGTAAATTACTTTACAGGCGCTGGGTAATTTCCATTTCTTTGATCTCTGCCTATCCCGTGGCTCATTTTTGCCTGAGGAGCTGAAGCCATTTATAGGGTAACACGTCCAGTTGTATATCTTCCGATTGACTGCTGCCCACTATAAAGGAACACTTCTCTGACCAAGGACCCCAATGGCCCTGGTCTAGGATTACAAACACCGATATTGAAAAGCTACTTTTACATCACGACCATTCAGCAAAATAACAATGACAGAGTGTACACTAGGGACCATGATCTCCCTAGCCACGGGCTTTGACCAGGCTTATGGTACCAGAAATAAACTCCCTTCCTATAAAGCAGGCCTCAAAACCAAGAAGAAAGCAGTTAGTTACCCCATAACAGTCATACCACTGTTGCCTGGGAAGCAGGCCTTAATCCGGTCAGAAAGCAGCTAGTTGCCCCATAACAGCTGTCTCACTATTGTGCCAGGAGCTGTATCTTGACTGGCAGGTTGGTATTATTATAGGATGGGGGGCGTGTAATACTGTGTAAGGGGTGTCTAATACTGTGTAAGATCACTGATGTGTTTTCTCTCATAGCAGCCTTCGTAACACCTTCCAGCACTGTGAAAAGTAGTCATTGGGGAAACTTTTAAATCCACAGACTGCAGTTAGTTTTTCAACCGCCAAGTGTGCTGGACCAGCTGAGATGCAATCAGGTCACCTGGAGGCTCTGGGGGCAGCATAGGTGGAAAGGAGTCTGGATCCGTGCCTTGCTCTCATTCCTGAAGAAGCCCCAACGGCCCTGAGAGTGCATTTTGAAAGCTGCTAATCTAGGTCAAATCCTCTGGTTCATATTTGGAAGGAACAGGAACCCAAGGAGATTAAGCTATTTGCTGAAGCTCCACAGCCATTTAGCAGTACAGCAAAGACACACTCAGGCCTCGGTCCTGCCACACTACTCCATCTTGTGCTATTATTTTCGATGAAAATGTGAGAGTACCTTGATAATGGATTCTTGTGTAACAGTGAAAACAAAAAACACTTAAAACTTTAAGGTGTTCTTATACTATGTGGCCTGAATCTGTCATGTTCAAATCTCTCGGTGAGCAGCTTTGCACTTTGAAGATAAATTTTTCTGTGAGAGGCCACACTTGCCTGCCTATGTGAGGAGCTACAGGCAGGGTGGGGGATGGATCCTGAAGAGGGTAGGTTCCCCACCTTCTCTCCTCACTCTTTGCTGGAGGTGAGGCCAGAACTTCACTGCCCAAAGAAGATACTTCTAGACGCTTGACACCATATCTGGTCACACATTTTACCTCATCTTGCTCCCTTACTGATTCTCACAAAACACATCCTGACCCACATGGCTTAATGAGCAGGCACTAGAAAGGCTAATCCTTACTTATATCACTCAAAACAGGTGTGTGTGTTTATGTGTATGTGTATATGTGTATTATGTGTATACACGTGTGTATATGTACATGTGTTTGCATGTGTGTGTATAAATGTATATGTGTGCATACGTGTGTGTGTGTGTGTGTGTGTGTGTGTGTGTGTGTAGGCCTGAGTGAAGGTCAGAGATTGTCAATCCAGCCATCCCCTCTAATGCCTAGTGGAGAAGGAGGGAACTAATCGAGCCTCTGGGCTGTCCATCACTTAAGGACTTCTCAATGCCCTCCTCTGCCTCCATTTGTATTTTCCAGCCTGAACCTGAGGCATGTCTGTAAGTGAGATTGCCACAGAGGCTGTGCCCCCTTACCAGAGGGAAGGCCTCTGGGTTCACAGGGCTGTCATTTACTTTAGCTTCTTTATCTAGGCAGCTTCCTGGCCTATATGAGTCAGGCCACTTCCCTCTGCCTGTCACGGATACAGCCTTTGCCAGCTACCCTCATCGTATCCCGACTGGCAGGCCTTGGCCTTATCCAGCCCAAGGAGAATGACTGGGCCCAAACGAGAGTGAATGCTTCCTATTGTAGAAAACGAAACCACACTTTGCTTCTATCATTTCCATTGCCCAGAATACAAACCCAAATTACAGCAGTTCAAGACTATTTGTAAAATATGCCATTATCATAAACCACACTGCCTTTCTTTTCAGGAAGAAAGTGAGATCCCTGCCAGTGTGTTTGTGAAGGAGCCGGTTCCCGGCCCCGCAGAAGGCAAGGAGGAGCTCGCTGAGGAGAACAAGTCCCTGGAGGATACTCTACACAACGTGGACCTCTCCTCCGATGATGAACTGCCCGGTGATGAGGAAGCCCTGGAAGATAGCGCAGAGGAGAAGGTGGGAGAAAGCAGGGCAGAGAAAATAAAGAGATCCAGCCTGAGGAAAGTGGATAGCCTCAAGAAAGCATTTTCTCGCCAGAACATCGAGAAAAAGATGAACAAGCTGGGGACAAAGATCGTGTCTGTTGAGAGGAGAGAAAAGATTAAGAAGTCGCTCACACCCAACCACCAGAAAGCATCTTCAGGGAAAAGCTCCCCCTTCAAGGTTTCTCCCCTCTCTTTTGGTAGGAAGAAAGTCCAAGAGGGAGAAAGCTCTGCGGAAAACGATCCCAAGTTAGAAGACCAGATGCAGAATGACCGTGAGGAGGGCTCCTTCACAGAAGGTCTTTCAGAAGCATCCCTCCCCAGCGGCCTGGCGGAGGGCAGCGCAGAAGATGCAGAGAAGCCAGCCTTGAAAGGGAACAACTCCGGCGTGGGCAGCAACGCTGACCTGACCATTATGGAAGATGAAGAAGACGATTCAGCGGACCTGCAGCAGGTGAGCTATGAAAGCGGCTACATGCTCAACGCCGAAGAGATGGAAGGATCCAGTGAGAAACAGGTCCAGCCGGCTGTGCTGCACGTGGACCAGACTGCCTGAGTGCACAGCCACAACACTGGGCCAGCTGCAGAACCCAGCGCTGGCTCAGCAGCATCTGCATCCCGGAAACCACCTCTGCACCTCTCCATCTCCACCTGCTTCCCGCTGTGACTGTCCAGACCATAATTACTGGTCATACAGTATCCTCAAGATCAAGGAAGCAAACCGCCAGGGATTCCACTTTTAATTTGCTCTTAGGTTCTGTTTGTGTAGAATTTCTCCACTATTGGAAGAAGAAAGAAACGGAGCAGTTAAAAGTCACCAATCTATTTGGCTTAGTCAGAAAACCTAAAGGATATTTAAGACAGTAGTCATGAAATGTGATTTTTTTCTCATCATACTATCAGCTTGCTGAATAGTGTAGCAGTAATATAGTGAATTCTTACTAAAGTCTATGAATGATTATTCTTCAAATATGTGATATAGAATACACATAAGTCCGTAAGCTGCAGATATAACTCTGTATTTTAAGAAAAAAAACATTTACAAGTGATAGAGCAGAATTCTCGGCTGATTATTCTCTCACAGAGGCCACTGTTTATTACAAATGGGGGCACTAAAAGGCTATGATGGTCAGGTAAGAGCATGAGGGATGCTAGGCTAGAAAACTAAGATGGAAGGATTGGAAAATGAGAGAAATGGAAAAAAAGAATGCCAAAAAGAATGATGACAAAGAGAAACAAAGGATGTGCTTAAAAAGTGAACTGTTGAGATTTTAAATCTATTTTGCTCTTCAGATAACAATATGAAAGAAGTTCATACGTCTTGCAAGAATATGTCTTATCTTCCCAATATTTTCATAGTCTAGTATAAAATAATATAACCAGATATCCTGATATAAAAGTTGTGGTTCTTCTTGCTAAATAAATGACAGAACACATCCTCCTGTGAAGAAGTGAAAAAGGACATTGTCTCTTTAACATTGGCATACTATGTCTGTAATCAGTAGCATGTACTCTTCTGTGGGAAAGCCAGTCACATGATTCTTCAATATTTTTTCATTTTGAAGTCACCTTTCCACTCCAAATATGATATAGGTTTATGAGGTGTTCAAACCTGCATGTTTAGGAAGAGAAAATTTCAGTTTTCCCATTTTTATATACACAATGGTAGCGTCATTCCAGGCAATGTTTTATTTATACATTAATTTCACAGGATCTTAATGTGTTTTAACTCCTAAAAGCATACTAGTATTTTATGCCATGTGTATGCTCATTCTGTCTAACATACTAAAAAGTTGCTTTATCTTTTTTCATTACAAAATGCCGATGTTTTCTAAATTACAGTGTAAAAATAGGAGACCCGGGCTTGAACTCTCTCCTCTGAGTGTGCAGTACAACAAGTGTCTGAATGGCTGGTGATTCTAAGGAGCAGTCACAAGCTGCCTCTGACTGTAAGAAAGGGGATGAGATGAAAACAGTGTGTTGATGGCGTGGCCTATTCATCTGTGCTCCTATGTGGCAACAAATGTAACCCCATATACCGAATTATTGAACTAACAATGCTTGTGTGACATAAGATTAAATAAATCAAAAATAAGAAGTGTATAACACTGTCAGTTTGTTTGGCAAAACAATCTTACAGGCAGAAGGAATTGATTTCAAGATGTTTTCTGAATGTAACAGCAATGTTGATGGCTGCAGTTCTTATTTCCCCTATTAAATCTGCTTTCTTTTTCCCCTTGATCTCATTTAGAAATCCAACACTCATTCTTCAAGTTTAACTTTCTTGACAACACCTTGCCAGCTCTATAGCATCTGGATTTATTGCAGCAGCTTGATTAATTTGATAATGCCATCTGCATTCAATAGTATTGCACCAGGTCTTATGATACCTTCAGTAGTCCTGAAATTCTGAATCTGTTGAGCTGTTCATTCAGTTTGTTCACTCAGATACACTTTGTCCCCTACAGTGCCATAGACTCCTTTACATAGCACCCAAAGCAAGCTTGTTCCACCTTCTATGGAGTGCCTGCCATTTAATGTGGCTGATGAGTTGGAGGATCCACGGTCCATGAAACATTTCCACCTCCCATTGCAACATACTTAATTTATTCCTATACACTAGATGCTTGTCAGTGGAAACTGCATACGAACATCCTAAGTTTTACTGACAATCACATTTATTCTAAGTTCCACAGTCGAAGCTTTAAAATCCCAAGCAATAAAATAGAGAATTAGCACAGATAATTGTTGGGAAACACACACTATAGGGATTAGAACAAGCAGCGTCTGTGGCAATGGAACCTATTTGTTTTTTTATTATTGTTGAATTATTTGCATACTGGTGAGACTGTGAAGTTCCCAAATTAGATATGTCTTCTTCCCACCCATCCAATAAACCATCCCTAACTTTGTGTGCCTGGAGCTTAAGAACTTGATTAGTGTTCCCTAGTATCAATTACACATTAATAAGGACTGGGATCTGTATCTTAGAAACAAAATTCTGTAGTAAAATTTTTCTATTATATGGATCAAAAATCTCACAAAAACGAACAAAGAAATGTTATTTTTCTACAAGATTAATTTCTTTTAAATTTATGGATAGACATTCCAAAAGGAATCTTTTCCTTTGGCTTAGGAATCCAGTTTTTGGACTGATTACCAGTTCCTTTGATACATGAAAGTAAAAACAAGACTTATGATAAAAATCAGCCCTGCACAAATCCATTCTTTTTCAGCACTAATTTTCCACTATAAACCTCTGCTCTAGCAGTGCCCATCCACTGGGATGTTTGGGCTTCATATGGTTCTGCCCACTATGAGAAAACTAGAGTTCCCTCATAGCCAAGCTGCCAGTGTTAAGTAAAGGTTATAATGAAAGTCATTTCCTACATTAAGACACTAATGCCTGAGCCCAGTTAATTCCTGCTCGCAAGTTTGTTTACTGCCCTACAGCCTGAATCTAAGTGATTTTATATTGGAGATTGGGAGTATGAAGAATGGAGGTGCAGGCAGCAATCATTATTAACAGTTCCATAGCAACCACAAGTCCTTCCCTAAAACCCAAGACTCCTGCACTGCAAAACATGCAGTCAATGAAATTGGCATTGTGACCTTTGTGAGCTGCTTGATCCAGGTGTCCAGATAAAGAATTCTGCAGCCAGCAACTCATTCCTAAAGGGAACAGGCCGAAATTCACACCATTAAAGGTACTTTACTCTTTATTTTAACCATTGCATTATCTTGCAGTACCTGAAAGCCTAAAGTTATTTTTAACTCTGTATACAAACTGCCCAATTAAGAAGGCACACCTTTAGTGACCAGCTTGATGTCCATATATTTATATACTTTCTACTGTAAAAATCAATTTGTTAAATATTTATAGAGCAAAGCAACCTTTACTCTCTTTCATTTGCTGCAATTCTTAAGTGCTTTGTGCAGAATACACAAGAATGAAGGGAAAAAACCAATATTTTTTACAGTTCCCTTGACTTCAGTTTGAGCACCCCAATGTCCAGCAGTTCTATGTGCCTAGTACAAGCATGATCTCATGTATTGAGAATCCTACTGGGAAAGCTCTGGTTTTCCTCCATTTTAATAGAGTAAGAACTTGAGATGTTGCAGTCAATTTACTCCAAATGGTAAGGTAAAGAGGAGGGATTCCAGACATTTTTAAACATTCAATGTGTTCTCGTTTAAATGCATGGATACTGTGTCTCTCTGATCTGTGGCACACAGTCCTAGACACTCCAGTTTGTGGATATCAAAATCCAAGAATGTTCTAAAATGTCACAGTACTGCATATAACCTATAAAAAGCTCCTATATAACTTTAATCTCCCCCTAAATTTCTATTACCTAATACAACACACACATTTTTTCAGATTTTTTTATTTGAATTAGAAACAAGATTGTTTTACATGACAATCCCAGTTCCCTTCTCCCTCCCATCCTCCCCTATCACCCACCCACCCCCACTAAAACCCTACCTATCACTTATTCTTTCTGCTCCCCCTGGATGGTGAGGCCTTGATAGGGCCTGGGCCCAACCCCGAAACACACACATTTTTAAATTTCTTTATTACTTTTATTTATATGTATGTGTGTGTGCCTGTTGGTGGCATGTGTTTGCAAGTGCTTGGGGAAGCCAAAGGGCAGTGGATCCCCTGGAACTGGAGTTACAGGTGGTTGTGAGACACCTGCTGTGAATGTGGGGGGGGGGGGGAATTGAACCTGGGCCCTCTGCAAGAGTAGTAAGCACCCTTAACTGTTGGCCCTAACAATGTAACACATTTTGCACAAGAATTATTATACCAGATTGTTTAGAAAGTAAAGACAAGAAAAAACAGTCCATACAAGTCAATACTTTTTTTTTTATTTTATTAGTTCTAGTTAGGGAACAAGCTTATTTCAAGTCCCTTCTCCCTCTCCCTCCCCTCACCCCCAACCCTCCTCCCCCACCCCCAGTCTATCCCCCACCCCATTCACCCACCACTCCCCAGGCAAGGTAGGGCCCTCAACTGGGGCTCTGCAAAGTCCACCAAGTCTTCCTATGCTGGTCCTGGGCCCTTCCCCATGTGTCCAGGGCCAGAGTGTAACCCTTCATATGGGATGGGCTCTCAAAGTCCCTTCTTGCACCCGGGAAAAATACTTATCCACCACCAGAGGCTCCCTGGAGTGCAGAGGCCTCCTTATTGACATCCATGTTCAGGGGTCTGGATCAGTACAAGTCAATACTTAAGTGGTTGTCTTTTTCTGGTTATTTTTGATCTGTGGTTGAACCCACAGATGCAGAACTATGGATGCAGGGACTAACTGCTTTTGGTTTGAAAGCTTCAGTCATGTGACTTGTCCAAGTTAACTAGTAAATAGTTCCAGTGCTCAATCCCAAACTGAAATCCATTCTGCTAGACAGACCACTAACTATGGCATAACCGTGCTTGCTGTAAATTGTTTTATAAGCTCTCGATAATGTACCAATCACTTCATTTTATCATTCCTGCAGCATCACAGACAGCTGCACTTCATAAACGATCCTCATGACTGTCATTTCAGTGCTTTAAAAACACACGCACAGCTGATGGATTCTGGAAAACTATTCTCAGACTTGTTAAGACCACAGAGGGGCTCTTTAGGTCCTTGGTGTCATCCATTATCAGGGGCTGCAGGACTCACTTTGTTTAATAAGAACAAGCTGTTGACAGAGATAGATCCTGCAAGTTGCTCATTCAAAGATGGCTCATGAGGTCTGCCTCAAGCTCTCTGTGTTATGGGATTCAAATTCCTCCATCATTCTTGAGAAATTGCTATGATCTCCTCAGATACCTTCTCTCATAGGCTGACAATAAGAGCAAGATTAGCACAGGGTAGGAAGGAAGAGTTTGGAAGTTGGTGGACCCGGATGGTATGCAGCCCTTCCAGTGGATGTAATTTCTACACTACTGTGACGCTTTCTTATCAGGAAAAAAGAATGCTTGAACCCTCATCTCTATGGGCAAGAAATTAAAGAAAGGCCCCTAGGCCGGCACTTATTCATCAAGGTGTGTGCTGCAGGCAGCAACTCCCTCCAAAGGCGTTGACTGTGGTCACAAACTTAAATGTCTGAAGGGCTCAGACAGAAGTGAAACAGCTTAAGCAGGTGGTGGCAGTTGTGGCAAAGCTATTACATGTGGGCTTTCTGATGAGGCAAGCTTACAACTCATATGCCTGAAGGCATGCCTTTTTCTAACTCCCACAAAGGGAATGTGTGTTCTAGAAGCCACAAAGGCTACACAACTCCAGTTGCCACGTGGAAAACCGGGCCAGTGGTGCCAAAATTTAGACTTTTCAGTGAAAGAGCCAAAATTCAGATTTCTTTGTAATGTGAAAATCTCCTGGCTTTTAATTTTTAGCAAGTAGTTCAAAACATTTTTAAGCAGTTGTACACTGTATAAGCCAAATATCAATATTTGTTGGCTGGATGTGGTCCAGGCACAGGCCATCAGTTTCTGACTGCTGATCTCTAGAGATGAAGGCTCTGGGGTTCTTCTTGCTTTCCTGAAGGCCATAAACACCAGAATAGAATGCTAGCAAGAGGATCAGATTTGCCTAAAGAGCACAGAAACCTTCCTAGGGAACATAAAGTACGAAAGTGCTTCTTCAGGATCTTCTCAGAACAGTCCCTCTCCCTCTTCCTGCATCAAAAGATTGTCGTTTGTGTTGTGTACTTTGTGGGACAAGGGAGCAGAAGCCAACTGCATGATTACATATATGTTCCTTAGTCATCCTTTGTCATTTATTTGTATGAGTTACCTGCAGCACCCCCGATGTCTGATGAGTAAATCTGCTTCACTAAACACGCCAACTTTCTCTCCCTTCTGTATTTCAGCTGAAAAATATCTGCTTTTGTCAATCACTTGGAGACCTTATAGATGACAAAAAGCAAGTCTGTGTTCTGCTCTGTCATGCATCATGGTGAAATTGCCAGCCAACACTTGTTCTTCGACTCTTCATTGCTGATAATGAGGTACAGAAGGAAAAGAACATGGCTCGATTTTTTTTTTTTTTTTTTTTTTGGATGCTAAATTGAGCTTTCAGAACTCAGAGTTGGAGACAGAAA